AGGGGTGAAGAATAGGAGTTCAAATTCAGGTTACAGGGCATTTAGTGAAGGAAGGGAAGTCTTGAAATAAGCTGGGCTCAATGCTGAGTGTAGCGTTTGCCTAGGCCCAACTTCATGGTAAGGACTAAATTACACAGGGACTCGAGGAATTGCAAATTGGCCAAGTGAGATAAAGTTTGTTCACTTGTTCATTTGTCATCCACTTGTTATGTTCTGTATCAGAGAACGCTATTATGAGAAAAATCAAAACGTGACCTGACCAAACAAGAGGCTTTATTATTTCCCTGAGTGGAGGTGTCAGGAGGCAGAACAGTCCCATGACTGGCTTATTCAGGAACTCAACAGCACTGCTCAGGACTGTCATTTTACATCTTTTGCCTCTCAGTTTGCTGAGAATAACTGCAAATTCACTGCATGGATCAATGACCAGGGCTAGGCTGAGTCGCCCTAGAGCAGAGAGTCACTTAGAGGGCATGTTATCCTAGTAGGGTAGGATCTGGTGGCCATCCTGGGGCCCCAGACACATATGGAGAAGACTATTTGACAGCTTTGCATCGAAAACCTCCCATGTGGCTACTCCTGTACTGGCCACTGGAAAAACAGACAAGTATCTGCTGGTCTAAAGAGTTTATAGATTAGTGGTGGGGCAGATGTTAAAGACTTAGCCCACAATTGAAACTTGACGGTAACAAGCATCAGACTGCAAAGGTATGTGATGTCATGAAAGCAAACAGGGGACTCAGTTCAGATGGGAGGAAGGGACGGACCCTCAGGCTTCTGGAGAAGGGGGGTGGACAGAAAGGGAGCATGCATGGGACAAGCAGAAGGACAGCCTAAGCCCAGTGGAGAAAAGACAGGAGGTGAGCTAGACAGGAGCCAAATCAAATGAGCAAGCAACACCTCTATAACCTCCTTTTCTTCCCTCCTTCTCTTCCTCCCTCACACATACACACATACATACATATCCATACATCCAGTCCTGGGGGAGTCTGCCACAGTAAATTAACCTAACAATTAACTTTATATTTCTACCCCTCCATCTTCCCACTTCCCCCTAACATAATATTTTTATTAATTACTTGGGAATTGCATACAATGCGCCCAAGTCACACTCACTTCCCATTCCTCCCAGGTCCACCTTGAACCCTTGCCCTCCCTCCCACAAACAACACCACCACCACAAAGTTCATTTTGTTCTAAAATATACCCATTGGAGCATGGTCAAACTCCCAGTGGCCAACTCCTTAAAGAAAACTGAGTCCTCCTCTCCTAGCACGCCCCTCCCCAGAAGCCATCAACTGTGAATAACTACATTTCAGCATCTTTATTACAGTTTTAAGGACTCTCCCCAATAGCTTCCTGTCTGGACTGTTTCTTTGGGAGGGGTTGTCACAGAAGCCTTCAATGTCTCTTATTCTCAGTCATGAGTCTGCAGCAGTCATCAATACCACTGCAAAAGAAGCTTCCTTAACCATACCAGCTGATGGCAGCCCGGATCACGAACACTGACATAACCTTTGGCAGCATCATGGACCACAGACATCAACATGGCTTCCAGCAGTAGAACAATGATAGACATCAACATGGTTTCCATGGGCAGCATGGATCACGGACATTAACATGGCCTCTAGCAGGCAACACAAACCATGGGAGTCTTTCAAGGAGGCTTAATCCAGAAAAGGAACCATTTTTCATCTCTGCAGAGGCCCTAAGCTCTCTTCCCTAAGCAGAATGAGTGACCCCAGCCCAGGGACAGCACCAGTCTAGCAGGCAGTGACAGGGCAAGGTGAGCCAGTGGTGACCTCAGCCACCCAGCAGTGTGAGGACCAGCCTAATCTGCAGTGGTGTGTTACTTCATCTGCTGAGGCCAAACTCATACCTGTCACCACCACTGTGTCTCTGGTTCCACTCTTCTCTGCCACATGCTCAGCTCCGTCTCGCCATCTTCTTTCCAGTTCCAGAGAGCCACTTTTTAAAAGCATCTTCCTATAAGGCCTGCCTTTTCCCAGTTGTTCTGGAGACACTGCCCACTCTGCAGGCTCATCCCCAACTGCTGTCTCCCCTGGAAGTCTCTGTGGGTTTCTCAGGCTCCTCCTTGACTGGATGGGAATATCTGTCCCCTTTCCCTTTATCGTCCAGTACTGGAAACTGACTCATGCATGCTGGGTAAGTGCTCTACCACTGATCTACATCTCCAGCGCTCTTTATTTTTACTTGAGACAGGGTCTGGAAAAATGAAGAGTCTCACTCTGTGGACCAGACAGGCTTTGAACCCGGAATCTCCTGCCTCAGCCTCCTGAGCCCAGAACACACAATACAATACAATACAATACAATACAATACAATACAATACATACATACGTGTGTGTGATGTATGTATGTATGTATGTATGTATATCATTTTAAAGTATCAAACCCTTTGTTCTCATAAAGTTTTAGACATAGACATGTTCTAATGCAATTTTGTACAATGTGCATTATAGGTATTGAAAGGCCATTTCATTTTTTTTCACAGCATATACTTGTAGTGACAACACTGAAATCACTCCATAAAAAAGAAGGCCATGTGAGGAGGTGGGAAGTAGGAAGGGAAACTAGTAGCCCTGGGAGACAGCAGCAAAAGGAAGTCATTTAAAATACAAAGGAGGTGTGGCTTTGACAGAGGTGGAGTGGGATCTCAGGGCTGGGGATGGGTAATGTGGAGCAATGGAGGTATGAGGCACAGAGAGGCACAGAAGCCTGCTGCTGAGGGAGATGACCCCAGCCCCACAGCTCTGGAGGAGAGTCTGGTGTTTGCTCTTCTCTACTCTGGGACGGTAACAACAATGAGGACCTTAGTGTCTCTGCTTTCTGTGGCTGGAGTGGTTCTGCTCACTCAGCAAGAGGATTAACTAAAAACTCTTCAAAGAAATGTGCCACAAAGGCCCTGGAAATACATGAGACTCTGCTTTGGGAACAGAGTTACTGCTACCGCCTATAGAGCCAAACAGGGTCATCTCATCCTGGTTTTTTTCTCACTAATAAGCTGACACATAATCTCTCACTGGCTGAGTATAAATGTTCAAATTAGCTGTGCCCTGCCCTTCAAATGCTTAAAACTTTTCATTGTGAGTAACTATGCATTTAACACGTGGATAAACAAGTAACTAAGTGGGTTCTCATCCTCCACAGCAGACATGTACATGTGACAAAGCCATCTCAGAAACTTCCCTTTTGAAATGAGATAACTAATTACCCAGCGAAAAGGCAGAGAGCACTTTCCCTACTGGGAAATCAAGAATGCAGTCTAGCAAAATACAGGATACGAGCCATGGCAAATCAGGTCTGCAAAACAGTAAACAAACAAGCCTCAGGGCAACTACACATGCACAAAGAGCAGTGTCCTAAGAACACTGAATCTGGCTTTCAGAAAGAAACAGAAAGGATAAAAATGCCTATAAGGATATTAAAAACAAGAAAACAAGGCACTGTAAGATAAAATAGTACACAACTAAAGCAAAGCAAAAAAAATCCTTAGTGTACAGAGACTTCAAGATCACACAGACTTAGCTTGAGTTACCCTAGAGGATTAGGAAGTGCCCATTGTCTTTATTACTCAGGAAGGAAATCCATGTTTCTTCCCAAATCCCAGCTATTAAAAAGCCCTGATTATGGAGACTGTCCTCTCTTCAAAATAGGTGCATGTCCCATTTCTCTACTGTAGTAACTGGCTTGCTGAGAGTCATGGGTTTTGTAGTCATATGGAGAAAAATAGAAGTGGATAATGAAAGCAAATTTAACTGGGTGAGCCAGCAGCATTTTACTGTTTAAAATCAACACAGGAGGCAGCCCAGGGACAGGAAGGGAAAACACACTGATCATTTACAGTTTTAGGAAAGTGTGAATATGTTTGGGTCTTTTATCTTGAGCAGCATAAAAAACTGACAGTAAAAGGTGAGCTAAATGGAACGCTAGTCTCTGGCATCAAGCACAGAAGGAATCATTTTTTTTTTTTTTTTTTTTTTCAAAGTATCTTGGTTCATGGCATGTGCTGGCCAGCTACTGCTTCTTCAAAACGTAAAGATTCTCTAAATTAAACATAAGATTGTTTTCAGTTTCTGCAACATATATGTGGATAATATTTAACGTTAGAAAGGGGGTTGTTATAGAAATATACAACTCCTAAAAAGAGCAGTCCATTGTCTCTTAAGCGGACCCTTGATACAGACACTTATGCAGTGCCTATGTATGCACATGAGACCGCAGACAATTGACAAAGAACAATCAATGCACACACACTGGACCAACACAGAGACTAACGATGCCAATGGCTTACTGTACACAAGCAAGAGGGGATGAGCCCCTTTGTGTATGAGTGTGGTGGTGGGGTGGGCAGTTCTGCAAAGATATGCACACTTCGTGCAGATGCAGTTACAACCTTGGACTGTTTTCTGTGAGTCCTTCTCAACTGTAGATAGAAATACTAGGAGCAGTATTACAAAAATAGTTATATTTTTACTAGCAAAGCAGACTCAAGCCAAAAATAAACTAAATGGGAATTGTAGTGCAGACTTTTAAAAAAAACAGAGTCTCAGTATGCCTAAGACAAATGTGGCCTCTTTATTGGAAACTTCTGTGTGGCATTCATGTTTGGTCAGACCTCAGATCTGCACTTTCTCCAGAGACAAACGACAGCTGTCCCTATACAGACAGCAAGGGAACTGCCATCTTGACCTGACATTCTTTTTTTTTTAATACTCTTAAGGCATTTATTAAAACGTTCTCTGCCAGAATTTCACATTAGCTTAAAATTCAATTCAGTCTTTACATTTCTCTGAGGTTGTCACCTCAGTGTATTACAAAACCCCCTTCTCCATCAGTCAGTGTGACCAGCATCCACGTGAAGAGCCCCATGGTTGGCCTCTCTGTTCCCCTGGTGAACCAACTAGATGTTAATACTGCTCTGCTACAAGGCAACAGCTCCTAACTCAAACTCATCGGAAAGAGACTTCTGCAAAGTGCACTTTGAAGAAGAGGTACTTTTTGCTTATGAAAAGAAACCAGTGAATCCTCTAAGAATAATAAAAGGGCGTATTTAACAGTTAAGCACATGATTTGGAGTGAAGAATTCGAATGTTGCTCTGCTGGTCCAGGCTGCTTAATACTCTTCTTGTTCCTCCTGTGGGCCCCCTTCATCAGGTATCACAAAGCCTTCATCTGTGGCATAAAGAATATCTACAATCCTTTGCAGTACAGGGTCATTTTCCCCTTCGTTCTCCTGGCAAATCAATTCAATGTTCCTTAGCTTTCCAAAGTAGAAGTCTCTCTCTTTCTCCAAGTCTTCAACAGTAAGTTTCAATACTTTGACCTGCTGCATCAATTCAGCTGCTTCGTCGTCCCCGTTGCCCATACCAGGGTTCTTCCGCACCATCCCTGGGCCAGCCTTAGGAGCTGCAGTAGTTCTCTGTGTTGCAATTGGTCTCTGCGGAGCTGCACTGCCGGAGCTGAGAGGTTTCTTCGGTTTACTCAGAGCTGGAGCGACAAGAGAAGGAGCCACTGCAGTTTCTTGACCTTGTCTGGCAGCTACAGGGTCATACTCTTTTCCATCATAATTTGCATCAAAAAACTTCTTGAACCACTGAACGAACTCAAAATTGTCCTGAAATTTTCCTTTTACTAATTTATCCACAGGAATTATTTTGTCAACACCCATCCTCTTGAATCCTGCTTGCAATAATTTGAAGTTCTGGATATATTCATGTTCTAGCTTAGCCTGGAATTTCACTTTCTTCAAAGCAATGGAGCCAGGGAAGAGCATGTCCATGAACTGACAGTATGCAGCCCCTGAACACAACTGTTCTATCTTTGTCAGATTCAGCTGCAGAGATTCATTGATCCAAGCCAGCATGTCATGTCGACTTAGGTTATCACTGGTGACTGACGTCGAGTAACCATTCACTGCCATCTTCGGCTCTCGGGGAACCCGCGTCCACTGACCGCGCGCCCGGCTCCGGTTCCGTCTTCGTCTCGTTCAAACCATCGGACCTTGACCTGACATTCTTATTGGCCCTTAAAAAAAATAATTTTTGCTCTAGCACTTTTATCAGAACAGGCCAAACTATCACATAGACCTTTTACAATAGGATGATCCAAACTTGGTGAATACAATAGGTATTTTTTCGAAGGACTGCACCCTCAAAGCTACTGCAATGAAAGTTTAGATTAAGCAAAGAAAAGATACCTAAGGTGTTGGTGTTACAAAAATTTTATCCTTTTGTAGATATATTGCCAGTGACCAGTCACAGTGATTGGCAAGTCCTATCAATGACTATAACACAATGTTAGTATTCCTAACAAGACACAAGCACTTCACTGTAGCTCAAATTCCAATTGGTTTTAATAATAATAAACCTGAGTCAGATATAGAGGTAAATGCTGAAAGATCAGCCACTAGTTCTTACCCTCATCAAATCCTCAAACAGAATGGGCAATCCTGTCCCTAGGACTCCCCAGACTGAGTCCCTGTCTCCTCCTACCTTATATCTCTCTCCAGATGCCCAGCTATATCATTCCTGTTTCTACCTCCCTAGTGCTAAGATTAAAGGTGTGTGCCACCGCTGCCTGACATCTATGGCTGACTAGTGTGGCTAGCTCACTACATATTTAATCCTTTAGGTAAATTAGACCCACTTTTAACCACATCTTACAAATGAGAAAGCTGGCATCACCATCCATGATTTTCCCAGAATCAAGTATAAATAATGTCTAAATTTATTTTTAGTAAATACAAACAATAATGCTCACATGTGCCTAGCTGAGTTTTTGAGCATGCAAAGTGTCATGACTGGGAATAGCTAAAGAAGTCATTGAAAACAAGTCATACAAAGGCTGGCTCAACACACACACACACACACACACACACACACCCCAAAAACAAAAAACACACACACACAAAACAAAAACAAACAAACAATCCCCCCACACACACACCATGAAATTAGAAAAGAAGCAGGGGGAAGGCTTGCTGAGAAGGGTTCTATCCCCAGAAGAAGGAAATAAAAAATGAGAGAGAAGACTGGGGTTAAAATGACTAAAATTTATTATAGAAGTGAATGAAATTGTCAAAGAAACAAATTTATGTTAAGTCCAGGTATGGTAGACTGAGCACTCTCAGTTGGCCTGATTGTAAGTGTGCTGAGGGAGTGGCTGGAGTGTTCAGCATCTCAGCTCCCAGCACTGCCCACAGTAGAGAGCAGGCAGTGGACCCCCATCCCAGGCACAGACATGACAAACACCCTGGAGCCTGGTGAAAGCACTGTGTACTCAGCAATGGCACCAACCACCCCGGGTAACAGTTCCAAATGGAATGATGTGTCAGAATGAATGGTACATCTGGCAAAAGGCAGATCCTGTGTGGACTTTCTGGCTAGCAGTGCCCCGCTACCCAGTGCACTTCTGAGACCCAGCAGCTCTTCAGGCAGCTCCTCTATGCCCCAGGCTGAAGACTGCTCCTGGCACCTGCTAACATTCCACTGAAGTGCTTTGCTGATTTTCAGATCTGGGCTTCCTTGCAGGCTTCTAAAGCTCTTACAGGTAGTTGGCTACACATGTTTTGTTCATCTCTAAAGCCCTGTAAATGTTTATAAGCTGGCAGAGCTCTTGAAGCATTGGCTGACTGACTGCATGACTGTCTGGGCTGAAATTACTTAAGTTATAATGTTCTTATATATCACATGTGTTAACTGGATGAAGGTCTGAGGATAATTGTGGGGATTAAAAGAAAACAAGTTCCTACTTACCTCAAAGAACAAAAAACATAAAAACAGAGATCAGAGATCTTTGCATGCATAGGAATTTTTATTTCCTAAGGAAGAGACAGCCAAAACAACCATGGTTTTCTGTGCTCACAACCCCAGGCAAAGGAACCAGCCACATATCTAAGGTGCCACCCATTCCTTTGTCATGGAAGTCCTGCTCTGACCATGTCACAATTGCAGCCAGTCACTGACACATACCTAGGAAATCTAAATACATCTAGTGTTCTGATAGGAGACCTGGATTTTTAAACATAACAGAGAAAATTATGCTAATCAAATAACAAAAACTAATACAACCTCCATATTCTCCTAAGCCCTAGAAAGTTGTACAAGTCGCAGATACAGAAACCCACCTTCCTCTACCTATACAGTCAACTTCTCAAAGAAGATATCTGCAAACACCAGACTTAGGCAGAATTCTCCATGGGAATACCCAAGGATTTTTTTGGCAGGATTGTCACATTAAGATTTCCACAGCTCCAACATTCTCCCTCTACAAAAAAGGACGAGGCCTGTTCTGTGGCAGCTCCATGATAAACAGGCCACCATGGCCCTTTGCTTCCCTTCTGATATAGATGGGACCAGTACTCTCTGTGTGCAGAAAACCAGGGGAGGCTGATGAAGTGATGATCGATTGATACCATAATTTCTGAGATTTCCAACTTTACAGAGGATCATCCTGCTTTTTATCGTATGCCATTAATTTTCATTTCAATTTAGAGTCAACTGGGCCTCTGAAGGAGTCCACTCACCTTTCCAATATCAGCTGGAAACTCACTTTTAGAGCAAAATTTTAAAAGGAAAGCTTATAAAAGTGTTGTATTTTTGGTATGTGTGTGTGTGCACACTTGCATGTGTGGGGGTACATGTGTAGGTCCAACTGTACAAGCATGTATGTAGATACATGCTGAGCCCAGAGGCTGATATCAGTACTCTTGTCTATCGATGGGCACCTTATATGATGAAGCAGGGTTTCTCACTCAAATCCAGAGCTTGAAGATCGGGCTACCCAAGCAAGCTAGTTCACTTCAGGGATCCCCTTGTGTCTAGGATTAAACTGAGCTGCCAAGATTGCCAGCATTCACACAGAGCTGGGGAACTACCTCCAGTCCTCATGCCTGCCAGGCAAGTACTCTACCCACTGAGCAATCTTGCCAGCTTTGTTTATAAGCATCTTAAATAAACTGGAAAAGTATGGATATTCATCTTTTTTTTTAAAGGAGGGGCAATATCTATACCAGCAAAAGCTTATGCGTTTAGGACATTCCAGAGACACAGCCATACAAAATGGCTTATTCTCCTAAAGGATTAAAAGGCTCCATAGTTTTCTTTAAATGGAAATGTTCCCAAGATATACACATAACTTCCATGTTCAGAGTCTAAAACACAACACATTTCTTTCTTGAGAACAGAATTGAAAATGCCAGCTGAAGTGAATGAGTCAATTAAATATTTAAAGAGATGCATACTCGGTCAGAGGTGGAAACAGATGCTGTGGACCACAGAGGAAAGAAATGCTTGATCTTCATCCTAAAGTTTGTCCTTCCAAAAGCATCCCTGACGTCAGCTCCTGTCTTAGTCATTTGTCTCATCCTCAGGGAGGTAAAATGAAACTGCAGTACAGGGTGAAGTGAGTGAGTGAGTGTGTGTGTGTGTGTGTGTGTGTGTGTGTGTGTAGGCATGGTCTCCTGTATCCCAGGTGGCCTTGAAAATGACCTTGGATATTTCCTCTTTTGTTGTCTTTGAGTGTGGCTCTCTCTCTCTGTATATATGTATGTGCCTTTGTGTCTCTGCTGTATGTATGTATCTGTGTGTATGTCTCTCTGTATATACATGTGTGCCTTTGTGTCTCTGTTGTATGTGTCTGTCTCTCTGTGTATGTGTATATGTCTGTGTCTCTGTATGTATATGTCTCTGTGTGTCTCTCTGTGTATACATGTGTGCCTCTGTGTCTGTCTATCTGTCTTTGTGGGTATGTGTCTGTCTTTCTGTATGTGTCTCTTCATGTTTCTCTCTTTTTGTGTGTGTCTGTTGTGTCTATCTGTCTGTCTCTGTGGGTGTGTGACTGTCTGTATTTGTCTCTCTGTGTAGACCAGAGTTTAATAGTGTCAGGGGTCTTCTTCTGCTACTTTACCTTTTATTTTATTGTTTTACAGATTGCGTTTCACTGAACCTGCTGCTCACTGAGTTAGCTAACTGGCTTGACAGTATGCTCCAGGGATCTACCTTTCTCTGACCTGACACTGGGGTTACAGACTCATGCTATCATGCCCAGCTTTTTAAAAAGAGTACTGGAGGCTTGAACTCAGCCCTCATTTTACCTAGGTGACTAGCAACATAGAGCTAAGCCCCCTCCTCAGGCCCAGACCTTGGCCTTCTGATCCCCCTGCCTCTGATGATAGGCATGTTCCACCACACCTGGTTTATTTGACAATGTTGTCAAATGAAGAGCTTTGTGCATGCAAGGCAGGCACTTATACCAAATAGCCACATCCCTCTTCTCCACAACATAACCTATTGAGGAGGATCATGGTTTGAAAAGCCTGTAGTGAGCCAAAAGCTGAGCAAGTCTCCTAGCAATGGCTTTCGTCTTTGTGGAAATCTCTCAAATGGTGCTCTCAGCAACCCCGAGCTTCTGCTGCAGTTTCTGCAGTGGGGCCTTCCAGCCACTTCTGGCCAGCACAGACTTAGCCAGCTTTCTCACTGGTGTTGGATCTACCCCATGGCTGGAACAGAGGAACACCCACCACTGGATTCCCAGTGCATTTCTTCTTTTTGCTGAGGTCATTGACATGTGCTGTCAATGAAAAGAAATCGATATAATTTCTTATAAGGAGCAGCTTGTCACTCTTATCCCCTGTCTTGCAAAGTTCCTATTCTTTAGTCCTGGGAACCACTTTCCAGGAGTGTAGCTAAGAAACTTCTGGCTATGTAAACAAGCAGGCTGTGCTAAGGGTCTGACCAGACCGCTAATGAAAGGGAAGCTGTGACAAATCCATGTCCTTAAAGGACTGGCTTAAAAATATGGAAATTCAAATAAAAGAAAACCACTTATTACAAAGTTTAAATAATAATATACACTACCATCACACACAGACTTTCATAATACATTAAATGAAAGAAAACAATAAATTCAAAACTGAATTGGGTGTTCATGGGGTGGGACATGTACTACAGGTTCCCAAATAGTACTTGAAGGTCGTAGAGAGCCAGTGAATATTTT